CAATAGACACATCACAATACCAACCCACCACAAATGTTCGACCCACCATACTGACCTGCCCCACTATACTGACCCCTCACAATACTGACCCCCTCACAATACCGACCCACCACACTGACCCACCATACACACGTTGACCCACCACAATACCGACTTCTACAATACCGACTCTAATAATACCGACTTCCACACAATACTGACTCTACACACTGACCCCCACAATAATACCGACTTTAATAATACCGACCCCCACACACTGACCCCTGCTAACAATACTGACTTCTACAATACCGACCCCCCACAATACTGACTTCACAATACTGACCCCCCACAATAATACCGACTCACCACAATACAAATGGGTTAGCAACATACTTTATATTCCCAGGCAAAAGCGCCGTGATAACTTACTGCCATAGGACTCTGGAAGAAAAGTTATCAACGCTTCATCTAACTTGGCCTGAAAAAGGACGTAAACTTTACCCTCTGGAGATATAACCAATTCCACCAGACTGGGAACGACTTACTTGAGAGATAGGTCCCCCCCCCACCCCCTCCAAGGCACCTGAGAAATTACAAAAACAAATAAGGGACAGAGAACAGAAGAGATAAACTTCACATTGAGGAAGTTGAGTGAAAAAAAGTGAATAAAAAAACAGATGAAAGGATGAAGTCGGAGAGAATCGCCTCTGTTCTTTAATGCGACTTCCTCTTGAGTTCCTGGAGAAGTGTTAGTTATGTTCTTGTGTGATTTAGGTTGAAATTTTTATGTTGGTTGTACGTCGTCGTTATTACTTCTGGGAATGGCTTGGTTTTATGAGTGTTTTCCATGGTTGCTTTGGTTTTGGTTGGTAACATTGTCATTCATGTCCTTCCCTTTTTTTTTTACGGTTTGATCTTTCAGTATACTTTTAATACGTGAAGGACTTATACTTTAAACCAGGAGAGTTTTATAGAGTACTCTGGCAGTGTCCTGTTTACACATTCCAAATGGTGAAGTATAATGAGTTGTCTGCCTGTAACTCAATGCAATTCTTACTGTTGATCATACCTAACTTTTTCAGGTTCCCCCACACCCTCCCCCACCTTCGTCAGTAGTTCGTTAAAGATAAACTTTACGCCCTCCCTCGGCCTCATATGGCGTTATATTTTGTCCTCTATAAACTCCTGTTGCGGAAAGTTCCTAACGAGTTGACTTACGGTAACAGTCGTAGTGATGATGTTTGGGTAGTTGGGGCGTGGTCTCTCTCTCTCTCTCTCTCTCTCTCTCTCTCTCTCTCTCGTGAATATCTTTGCAATAGTGTTGCAGCTAATTGTGATAACAGAAACCTGCATCTGCAACCCACCACAATACCAACCCACCATAGTACAGAACCCACCACAATGTCTCTTACAGGAACACAACTTGTCAGTACACTGGCCAACTTGAGGTCTTCCTAGGGAGCTTCTTGTTAATTACACGTGCGTGGATAATTGAACAATCGTTGTTCCTGATGAGCCAATCACTTCCGAGGACCAGCAGTCGTTAAGCGTCATCGCCATCTCAGCTTAACGACCATCACCGGAAGAATTGGCCTCGTTTATCCTCTGCCAGTAGAAGATGATGGTGGTTTGGTTAATGATGATAATGGTCTTTGGGGACTCATTCTTGTCCTGTGTCTCTGTTCACTAGTCCCGCCCAATATGTCTCTCTCTCTCTCTTGACTTTCTCAGAATTCATCAAAACTTTCGATTCGTCTCTTTAACTTTCATCTCAAGTCATTCGTTTTCTCAACCTATAATTGGCCGAGGGTGAAACTTAACCTCAGTGTCAGGTAGAGATAAGAGGAAGTATTGACAGCTATAAGTGGTCTGTTTAACGTTCGGTTGGTGGAAGTTGATGTCTGGCTGTGTGTGTTGGGTCATGATCATCAACTTGTTATTGGTGTTTTTCTTGACCTGTTGAGCCTATTAAAATCCATCTTCTCGGGGGTGAATTTTATCGAGTTGCTCTTTGAGTGATCACCCGGATAACTGATATTGTATTCCTTCTTGTCCTGTCACCAAAGTCCTGACACTCGACGCAGGATGGTGTTTACATAGTCGTGGAACTTATCACGTCATAATTACGTTACTATATTAATTAGGTTACTGTATTAATTAGGTCACTGTATTAATTAGGTCACTATTATGATTTTGGGTACTTAATTGATCTTAGCTGTAACTCATTTGTATCTCCTACAGAACAGCTCATCATCAGCCACTTGATGCTGTACCAAACACTGCGTAATGTGTCATAGTGGTCAGAATCTGCCTAGTGCCCATGTAATACTCTTTATTTTTATTACACACATATACACAAACACACACACACACACACACACACACACACACACACACACACACACACACACACACACTCTCTTTTCCATCTATCCTCAACATATATACAGTATTTCATAACAATATGCTGTAGAAGGTGAGACTCGGGTTACATAACAGGTCACTGCTGCTGGTGGCGACAGCAGCAGCAGGTGGTGGTGGTGCCCTCAGGGGGGAGCCACAAGATCCGAGGTTCTCACGGGTCCTCTCATTTGTTTTTACCCGTAGATGAGAGGTCTAATCTAACCTAACCTAACCTAACCTAACCTAACCTGACCTGACTAACTTAAGAGTGTGACAGCCAAAATTGAGTAGAATTTGCACTGAGACTGTACCACGACACCCTGCCACCTTGTCTTACTGAGGGGTGACATTATCGTGCAGACCTGGAGGAACTTAGCCTAGAGGTGTGTTGCTCCCTCACTGCCTGGAGGAGGAGGAGGGGGGAGTTGTACACGTTTTATCTGCTCTCTCTCTCTCTCTCTCTCTCTCTGTTTATATTCTCATTTCTCCCCTTCCTCCTCTTCGTTCTTTTTTCCCTGACGCTAATTAATAGTTTCCCATTTACCTGACTTCCCTTCACCTGTGCCGTCCATTCTTCCTCCACACCTGGTTCTGACGTCACTCTTACCTGAAATGAAAAGAAAACTCGCTGTCAAATGAAAAAAAAAAGTTAGTTAAAAAAAAGATGACCATCTGTAAAATACGTGTTTTTTAATGTTTCTTTGTGAATTTACTTTTTTTTAATATACGCCCCGCGGGTTAGTGAAAGCAGTTTATATCCCGTGTGGTGACAGTTTACAGTACAGCGAAGACTTTAACACTTTGAATAATTTAAATCTTGATGGTATTATTTATTATTTTAACATTATTGAATTTAATAAAAATAAATCATAATACATTAAAATAAATAATGCAGTGAAAAATTATACGCTTGGCCCCTCTTCAGTGTAAAAGTGTATAATGAAAACACCTCCTTTGCCAGAACGGTTAGGTTAGGTAATTACAGTATTGAGTCTTGACGGTTTAACATGGATTTCCTAGTTATTTCCACACAGCCATAAAATATGTATAATATGCTTTGTTGTCATTACCTGTGTTGACATGAGAGATTTGTTGTGTACAGGTGTGTGGGTTTGGTCTTTCTTGTCAGTTTTCATATCAGCCTCCACCACTTTGAGTTAATATCACAGCTCGGTCGCCCTTGTTGATATTTCAGTACAGTACTGCGCTATTTTGGTCAACTTTGGACAAACATTATTGAAAAGTCGACGAAAAAGCCCCAAATTTTGAATCCGATTTTTTTTTGTATAGCTGGTCGGTGTTGAATAGGGGCGCTGTACAACACTGTCAGCCTCGTTAAATTAGTCAGGGTTATAGGTCATCAAAGGTCACCTGGTCAGATAAAGCCTCCAGTAAAGCCGTATTGTTCCACCTATTCCTCACCCCATTGTTACCCTCCCACCCATTTCTCGCCGAATTAACCCCCTCCCATTCCTCCCCCATTACCCCTTCCCCCTATTCCCCATCCTATTACCCATGAAAGGGGAAGGGATAGCATCTCTCGTCGCCGCCTTCACCACATCCAGTCTACAGTACTAGGCCTATCACCACTGCTACTATAGGTCTATCACCCACAAAGGGAATAGCCTACCACCCTCTCACACCACTACCACCCTTTCACACCACGACGACGACCACCAACATATTGCAGGTGGCGGTGAAGGAGGAGGAAAGATATTACAAACCACCAAAGAAAATTTATTCCACGAAATAAGTCTTTGTTGTTATTGTTTTCACCAAGCCGCTAACTACACAGTGAGTCGCTAAGGCAACCAACCACGTCTACCAGTGTCACTTCCGCAGATCACCACTACCACCCTCCACAACTGTCATTCACCACCCACCAACATACACTACTACCGCCATCAACAACCACCACCTCTGACTCAACCAACCACCATCACCATCAACCACCACCAGCAGGAGAATTGTGGTAGTGCCCCAGTCCGAGAACTGTAGCAGCAATGTACACGACGTATATGGCTGTCAAAGATAACGAAATAAATACAGGTTACGTACGTTGAGTTGGTGAGAGAGAGAGCCAATCAGGTATTGTGTTAGAGAGACAGCCAATCAGGTGTCAGCTTGACTACCTGTATATTAGTTACTAGGTAGGAGTTAAAGAGAGGGGTAAGGGAGGTTGAAGAGGGATGGGTGGGTGAATGGAAGGGAAGGGAGGATGAAGAGGGAGATGGGATAAAGAGGGAAGGGGAAGAGGGAAGGAAGAAAGGGAGGAGGAAGGGAAGGGAAGATAAACAAGGGTGAGGCGGGGAAAATAGTAATGGAGGAAGGAAGCAATGAGAGAGGAAAGAGGAAATAAAGGAGAGGAGAAAAATATTAAGAGGGTTAATGTGAGAGAGAGAGAGAGAGAGAGAGAGAGATATTATTATACTCATTACTGTATCTCTCACTGTCTCCACCTGTGTCATTATATATATGAGACGTTATCTCTCCAACTCTTCTCACCCATATAATATTGTCTGTCTTACCCTGTCTCTTTAATTACCTCACCCCTGTCTCATCTCACCTGTTCCATCTCTCTTTAATTAACTCAATACTTCTGTTCCATCTTTCAGGATCGTGTGAGCCCAGGTGGTTCCACTGTGGGGAGAACGGAACGATGTGTGTGGAGCAGAGGTTTGTGTGTGACAGAGACGAAGACTGTCCCTCTGGTGAAGACGAACTCAATTGCCGTAAGTATTTTGTGTGTGTGTGTGTGTGTGTGTGTGTGTGTGTGTGTGTGTGTGTTTTATTTGTCCTATTAACTTTATGTATATTGTAATTTATGTATAGAATCGTATGTTAGTCTGTATCAAATTAATCGTGATAAATGGCAGGTGTTTCGAAGATATATAATTAATTACATGGTTTAAAAGATGATTAATTATATTGCCGTAGTTTTACATAATATTAGTGGGGGTGTCAGTTACTTGTGTTGAGGGTTGATTAACTATAAACAAAAGGTTCTAGGATTAGTTTTAAGTGCTTTGTGTTAGGATTATATAGTGGTGTGGGAGATTGTGTACTCGACTTCAGGTTATATAAAGGAGGTTGACAAAGGTGCAGGTGTCTAAGAGTGGGAGGTGTGTGTGTGTGTGTGCGCGCGCGCCTTCATTATGTTCTTGACTTAATGATATTTTTCATCTAAACACATGACATTAAAAAAAAAAAACTGAACCAAAGTCAACACAGTGATAAGTAAACACACTGATTTATAGGACTGAACGATGACCTTTGCCTGTGGATCAAAGACATGGGTGTAACATGTTCACACACCAGTCAATAGTTATGATACTGTGAATACTGAAGAAGAGAGAGAGAGAGAGAGAGAGGGGATTGAATAAGACACAGAACAAGAAGAGATTGATGGAAGAAAGGCCAAGTGATCAGGAGTTGAGTGTGAGTAGACTGTAAAAGATCAAAAGAACGGAAATGGAAACTTGCCGATTGATCTTTCTGAGGGTAAAAAACAAAAACATAAAACACACAGATACAAAAGAACACAGTGATGAGGGTTACAAAAGAAAGATCCTGGGGTAAGAGACATCAAGTTTAGACAAATATATATAATAGGTAGATGACGAAGAGAAGGATCTGTCGCTTTGAAGGAGAGAGGATAGACGGCAATCAAGACTCAGGCAGATAACAAGAAACGTACGTGTGTGTGTGTGTGTGTGTGTGTGTGTGTGTGTGTGTGTGTGTGTGTGTGTGTTTCAGTTTATGCCAGGACACACACACACAAACATACATCAAACACCAGGAGAATAAAGGCAGATAGTAACAGTTTCAGTGAGATAATCAGCTTGGCTTTCGGGAAGAAGGGCGAGAGACAAGGGAAGCAAAGAGGGTGACCAAAATATGATGCTATATATCTACTGACTGAACTATGAGGCAAGTGAATGAAGGTGGTCAGGGAGAAGACTTATAGTGAGTTAATTAAGAAGTAAACAAGGGAAAGTGAAGCCATGATAAGTGGGTGAGAGGGCAGCAGTGAGAAAATTATATATAGTGTTAATTTGTGTTTATTGTATACAGGGAGACGCTCAAGATTATGGTCACCCTACTCTTCCAGTCTCCCCCTCCTCCCCGTCTCCTCTCCCTCCGTGGTGTTTCCTGAGCAGTTATCCCCGGCAGTGGTAAGAAGGCCACATACCCAAAAGTGGACTGATTCAGCAGTAGGTGGCGGCAGGTTTGGTGAGGGAGGATTTTTGTAATTAATATTTGGGGTGGAGGGGAAGTGGTTGCTCTGAGATGATATTCCAACCTACTCACCTCACCTCACCTTACCTCGCCTCACGTCCAGGCCAATTTGTGTCGATGATCTAAACATTCACGAATCTGTGCTGTGAAAAAAAAGGTAATACTGAAGATAATGAAACAAAGTCGGTACCTGTTTAGACTCTAACCCTCACCAACACGCCAGATAACCAACACATTACCATTACTACCATCCAAAGGCTCTGTGAGTGAAGTGTGAGAGAGAAAGAGGAGAGAGAGGGTGTAGGGGAGTTGTTGGAAATGAGTACGTTTATTAGTAAGAGAAGACACAAACAACACGCTTCCTGGACATTCTTTAAAACATTGTTCTCGACCTTCAAATCATCTTTAGTCAGGAACTGTACTGGTATGTGAAGATGGTTCAGCAAGAGGTCGTGTTTTCTTGAACGTTTCTGTGATAGTTAGTCAGTTAATTAGTTGATAGTGTGTGAATCAGCTCGTACACTGTTTTTATTAAGTATCGCTGAATCACTGTAAATTTACCAGATCTCGGATTTGTTGTGGTGAGTTGGCTAGTTTGAGTATTTCTTGCCAGGTTGTGGGACACAGGCCCTCTGAGGTGTTTGATTACATCGCTTTATGTTGGTGGTAATTATCAGATGGAGTTTTAAGGACAAAAAACTTCGACCACCCTCAAATTTTTATGCTTGACTCCGACTCGGCCTATTTGAACAACTGTTTCTACCATCCTAATGTAATTTGTATGTTGTTCTCGACAAAACCTTCGACTCGACTCCTCAAATTTTATGCTTCCGACTCCGACTCCTTGGCCTATTGCTAACAATATTTCTACCATCCTAATTGTAATTTGTATGTTGTAACCTGCATAGGTAAGTAAAACACCGTGGCTATACTGCTACAGCTTTATTAATGATCTGGACGATATTTAGAACTACAAAAAGATGATAGGCTTGACTTTCAAAGTTTCGTCAAAAGAAAATAAATTTATTAAGAATTCAAGATATTAACTAGAAAACACCATTTACATGTATATCTAAGTTCGATCTCAGCATATGAATTTTGTTTAAGCTCATAATCTGATGTGGATCTAAATGATGATCCTACAATTCCTTTTTAAAGTAAAAGTATATATTTATGTACATTAAAAAGAAATGAATATATTAAGGAAAATGGATAAACCTTACATGATTAAGTTATTAAATTAAATTTGCCTTAATCTCACAAAAAACAGAGTTGTGGCCAGCTAATTGTTTTTTGTAGCTGAGAGCCTCTGTGCAGTTTTCAACGAAACAAAATTTGATATAATTCAAAATTTCAAAATGGTAAAGAAGCGACTATCGTCAAAAATTATAGTGCTATACTGTGCCTGCTGATAAATTCATAATAATGTATAAAATGGAAATAAATTCTTTTAATAATTTAAGAAAATTAGTGGGATCAGTGGAATCACTGCAATGAATATACCTGAGTTCATATAT